TATTTTATTAAAGTCATAAGGGATATTCACATTATTAACACTGCAATGTAAAATACCACCATTCTTCCTTATGGTTTTAATACTCAAAATTACATTTATTGACTTCTCATGTATCAGCTCAATATAGCCACTGCAATAAGCATTTGAAAAATTCGAACAATATATAAACAAATAATCACACATGCACCATTTAGTATAATCACACATGCACCATTTAATAATCACACGTGCACATTCTCCAAAAAATGATCACATTAATATCAACAAAATTATATTTAAAATATTGCACACTAGCACACTATATCTTCAATTTAAGAAAATCATATATATGCTCAACTATTTCAGCATATGAATAAACAACCAAAATTGTACTCCGTATAAGTTATTTATCAACTCAAGGTGGCTAATAAGCCTAACAACAAAATTAACAATGTACAAATTGACGATTCACGTCAAATTCAATTTTAGCACATAGACATTTCAAACAATATGACTTTCCCCTTCCCAAAAGCATTTCTTGAGCACACTATAATTTGAAATGATAAAAGTATATAATTCACATATTTTCAGCATATAAAAACAACAAAAAAAAATCTTTGTAACATGCAATAGACTCTAACTAAGCACCCCCACAATTCACAGAGAGATAATTTCATTTTTATTTGAGACAAAACCATCACAACCTTTATTTGCATGTAATATACACTCGGTTTTTAAAGAACCACACCAAAAGCACTACATGCAACGAATATATGTTCATCACAACAAAATAATTAATATTTCGCATAATTTAATGACTATAAAGATTTTATGAGAGGAGTTATCGAAAAGGTTAAAAACGTTCTCAACATTAAATGGAAGTTAATTAATAGTAATAAGTTTAAAGTTGCGCACACCAACGTGAGAATTACCCTGAGTTGCTCAAATACTTTTAAAAAACAACTAAAGGGTAGCCTTATATTAACAAGTTAAAATTGAAATGACATGGATGAACATGTCGAGCAAAATACATGTTTTTTTAACAAGTAAAAATTCTGGACGTTTCATTTAAATTTTATAGTGCAAGACTTTCTCATTTGTCAAACATAAATAAATAAATACCAACATAAGATAAAGTCATATACAGTTCCAGCCTAAAAGTAGAATCACTCCAGCTTTATCCAATTGAGAAATGAAAACAATCAAATCAGTCTGAATCTCAATCAAGTGAAATACGTCATTCAAATATAAAAACTTTATATGATGTGAGTTCGATCGCAATTCCTTTTTTTCGTCATCTCCTATAGGACTATAGGAGGATAAACTCTTTTGCATTCACAAATGAATTTGGTAGCCTCAAAATCTACCATATATTCATTCACACATCACTCGTCAATTTGAAGAATTAACCGCACCAATTATATCATCACCGCCAACAAAGTTTACACTTTATTTGGTGGATGTTTTCCTTAAAATTTTCATTATCTAAAAAATCACTTTTTAACAAAGGCTATAAAAAACATACCATAATTTTGACCATTGTTAGGAGCTAGAAATGTAGTCATACTTTTGGTGTCACTAGTCATAGGAGGTGTATCCGCCACGTTGACTGTTCCGTAGGTGTAATTTTTATTCGCCGATAATTCCTTAGATTGTTGGCTCTATCCTTCCAACTTCAACGTGTTGACCGTGTTGCTCCTCAATTGACATCGTTGACCATCTAACTCTGCTAATTGACCTGCAAAATAATCACTAAAAAGAACTAAAAATACATTAGTGGCTCGAGACGCGTCAGACGCTGTCCTAAGGAATTATTTCCGGCGTACGGAAATTTCCCCCAAGATATAACGAGCCCTTCGGTTATAAAACCGGTACCAGAACTAACGAGAAGAAATTCGTATATGAGCCCATCAATAAAATATTTTGATGATTAGCACTTATAAGATAGTGTTATACGCAACAGCAATATGTACTACTCCTCGTGTATGTTTTTTTAATCAAAATAGCATGAAGATTAAACCTTCCCTTATAGGAGCACGAATGTAGCAACTTTTTGTATATACATGAATGTAATCTTCTCTCACAAAAATCTCCACGTAGCAAAATGCATGATCGGTATATATATACAAATGATAATTATTTAATACACCAATTAGTGGCTTATACGTTAGGCACAATGTTAATATTAAATACATCATGAATGGAATAACTTAATAGTAATTCATAAGAACCGTTATGGACAAATGAATATTATGTTCATGCATACACTACATAATTATGTATGCATTAATAGTAAATAATATGTATTGTTAATAATAAACGATCATGGATATGAAAATATTTATAATTTACTTTTTAAATTAGTGTAGAAAACACAATTAAAATTAATTTATTCATTTGAAATATTCTGAAAATTTCCAACACTACGCACTAATCTTCTAGATATTGGAATCAAATAGAGTAGGACCATGTGCTAATCTTCTAGGTTCATTTCATCGCTTGATAGAGTGGTCTTTCATTGTTGCGAGGTACCCCATCCAAATTCTCAGGCCGTTGATCCAATCTCATTGACGACCCTTGACCAAGACGATCATGCGGGAGAATTCTCAACTGAAGATCACATGGCAAATAACATAAATGTCAATCTTTAGGCAGATGGGCTATGTGTGTATATCAATGGCTGTTGTAACAACTAAAGGTGCCTATAATGTGACGGTGCAATCGATGCATGTGGCAATCCTTATAAAAATCAAAATTTGCACTTGTTCAATTAATGGATTTTTATAAGTATGTTTTATCTTATTAGTGAACATACTATTTACAAACAAAAATAACATATTTAGATATGTGTACATAAAATGTACTACCTCTGTCCTCTAAGATTGAGATAAAGGAGAGTGATTCAGTTATTAAGAAAGATAAAATTGTGTGATTGATATTAGATTGATAAAATGTGAGCAAAGTAAGAATGAATTGTAATCACTCAAATATTATCAAATATATTATGAGACAAACTTTGTAGACAAATCAAAAGAAGTAAAATGGGATAAAGATACGAGTTAAGTACATGAGAAGCAGGTTTATTGCATTTTTGCCATAAACGTCAAACCAATTTATTAGTGTTTTATTTAATAAAAAGAGAAAAAGAAAATGTTTAGATGCCCCTGCGGATGTCTCCCTTGCATTAGGGTTCGAGTTTCGCCGTCTTTGGTGCGACGGCCTTTTTTTAGTAGAGAAAGGAAATCGCTCGCAAACAATAGACTTGTATCGATACCTCGTTGTGGTGGTCAATGCAGAAAACTCTATGGAAGCCGAGGAAGGAAGGAGGAGAAGCGTCTAGAGAGGAGGAGGGCCCGATGGATAAACTGATCGAGAAGTATGTTGACCTGGACATTAGTGAAGCACCGGACGAACTGGTGATTGATGATGATGATTAAGAGGCGGCCGAGCCAGTGGAAAACCACTTTTGTGCGTCAACAATCATAGTGATAGTCCCACCTCCTCCTGAACCACCACAATGGGTTGAACGCGGTGCTAGAGTTCAAGAATTTTATTTTGCTTATTTATATTTCTTCATGTTTCGATTTTATTTGAATCTTTTCTGTGTTTTGGTTGTGCCGTGTTTTCCGGCAAAAACACTGTAGAGCCTAGGACAGTTGATGAGGAGTTTGGTCTGCAAGTCATTGGCTCAGTCAAGCCCAAAGCGGGATCAACGGATTATATTACTTCTACGGTGATTAAGGATGTTTTCTTTTGGACTGAAATTTGCTGGTCTGGTCTGGTCTGTTTAAGTCTGGTCTGTTAAACGTCTGGTCTCTGTGTATTTTATAACTATGGAAGTCTGGTCTGGTCTGATCTGTTTAAGTCTGGCCTGGTCTGTTTAAGTCTGGTTTGATCTGGGACTGAAAATAGTCTAAAAGAAAACATGCTAATTCTAAGAGCATCCACATTGATGATCTTCAACTTTACGGTTTTTCATGTCTTGTTATTGTCATGTCACTTCCACATAAGATATCTCAAATAATCTCCAAACCAATAAATTTCTCCTCATTCATGATCTTAATTTACTTTGGATAGGAGCATGAGCATGCACGAACTACAAAGTTAGTCATCACCATAATTATGGGTATATGCCTAGAAGTTGGAAATAATCTCAAAATAATTCAACTTTAGAATTTGATACCAGATTATTTTATCAAATAATCTCATAAAATAATCTCCTCATCCATGATCCCCCAAAAGATCTTCCACATCATCAAAATGATCTAAAAAATAATCTATGGATGTAGATACCCTAAGTCTGGTTTCTAGAGCGGATGACAGACAGAAGACTTGTTGTCATCTTGTAAGTTGCTTAACCTTCTATTACCATAATTTAAGCTAGTTTCTAGGCATGGCAATGGGTCGGGGTGGGGCAGATACTGCAAGATCCAGACCCGCCCCGTGACTTGCACGGGTCCAAACTTGTTGACTCATGACCCGCCCCGCCCCGTCGTAACCTAATTAGCTAGTATGTATTTTTATTTGTGGGAAGTTGTTACCAATTGAATCTACGTAAAGTTTATCTTTGAATAATAATTAAAAATCAATATATTAAATCAAATTCACGATACCCTAAAATTTCAAAAAATAAGGAAAAATTACTCAGACTTGAATAATTAATCTATTTAATTATACTAATAATTGAACATATGTATTAAAATGCTATATATAAAGAAGACATTGATCATCTCATTCTAATATATGTATTAATATATTATAAGATCAAAAAATTTATGATTTACTGTATACACACATGTATGTTGAAATATATTTATAGTATAATTTAAGAAAAAGTATGTATGCTTATGTACTGAGCGGATCGAGTCGGGGCGGCACGGATCAATACTAATACCCGAACCTGTCCCATTGTATAGGCGGGGCGGGGCGGACCCGTCCATTTGAAAGACGAGGCGGGCCGGACCCGTCCCAAATGTCTCGGGTCAGGGCGGGTTTTTTTGACATCCCTACTAGTTTCGTTTAAAAAAAGAGAGAAAAAAAGAAAATATCTTCTGCTCCCTCAGTCCCTCGTTTATTTATCGTCTCCTCTCTCGCTGTTTGACCTCGATTATTCTTCTATCTGTACTAAGCGCTTCAGATCTCTCCTGTAAGATTTCGAGCCCTTCCCCTGTATTTTCTCTCTCGATAATCTTACTCTTCCATTCTTGAATTTTTTGTTTCCTAGTGAGCTCGTTCTTGTTATTCTTTTCTTTTGCAATTTGTTTATACTCTTGATCACATATATTATTGTTCTGTGGTTGTTCTATTTTGAATACGTTATGTAGTTTTGGGATTGAAGAAGAATAGTAGAAGCTGTTCAAATTGAATCTTGGCAGCTGTTTTGGCTTATCATTCTGTTGATCAAGACATCTACTTAAGAAAAGATTAAATTTTGGTGAATTACTAGTTTTGTGCTATGATTCTAAAAACATATTTAAGCCTAAAAACAATAGCCATCCACATTGACGTAGCACTCTTTGTAACTTTCCTCACATTTGGTTCAAGTATTTACGGATTTACCTCATCTCATGAAGTGTAATTGTATAAGTACATGATATTGATGAAAATGAAGCAAAATATTTATGTATATTGGCTCTCTTAAGATTTGAAAAGTAATTAAAGAAGATATCCCAACAAACTCCTGGAGTCTAATATAAGACTCTTTTCTAACAATGCTTTAAGCATAACTTTCTTGGTTTTGAATTTTGGTTGTTCCATATGAGAATGTGAAGTGATATATGGGAAACTTATAACTGAAAAGTTAATATGATGCTGAAACTATGTGAAGCGGATTAAAATAGATGAGCCTAGTGCTAAAATGGGAATAGCCGAATAGTTTGTACACAATTTATTAGAATATTTGTATTCATAATTCTAGACTCATATGTATTAAGGATAGTAAGTGGTGTTTACAAAAACTATGAAGCCTTTCTATGAGGTATACTAAACCTAAACTTAGTAGCATTATATGCTCCAAGTATTTGGTGTTTAAAAAACTGCAGTTATAATACATGTAATACACTTATACAATAAGTAAATAAATAACTAATGGGATAAGGTGAAAAGTATTACCTCCGTCCCATAAAATAGTTCCCCTCTGATTTAAATCGGAGTTTAAGAAAGTGGAATAAAGTGGAAATGTATGGTTGTGGTTGGGTAAGAAAAGGGTAAATGAATGGTAGTCACACAATGCTTTCCAAAAAGGGAAATGAGAACTATTTTTTGAGACAGCCCAAAAAGGAAAGTGGGAATTTATGGGACGGAGGGAGTATTATAGACTGATCTCACTTAATATCGTTGGACATCTTCATTTTTGTTTCGTCATATGTAATTCATTGTATGTTCTTTCTGAACAATACTACTTGGGGAAACACTGAAAAACAAACCAAGCAACATGCTCACAGGCGTCACAGCAACTGAGATTCTGGAATTGAGTCCCAACTTTGATGACTATTTTTAGTGTTTTTATGTTACACAAGACTTTAACTCTGGGGTGATGTGAACCATGGCTGAGTGCAAGTTGTATCTCTCGAATTTCTTGAGCCACTAAGCAACAACTATATTAATTGAAGTTGCATAGGGTAACCACTAACCAATAGACAGCTGGATCATGTTTTTTCTGTGGAATCTAAAACATATATAAGGAGTATATATCAAGATAGGAATGTTCTGCCAGTGCACAGGAAGATATCTTTTTTGTTACAGTATATATTATTAGATTTTTTTCCCCACATAATCAAGGTGATGTAGGCATAGTGATAAAGGGCAGCCCGGTGCACAAAGGTATCCCTCAAGGTGTGGGTCCAGGGAAGAGTCCCACCACAAGGGTTTATAAGGAGCAAGTCTTCCCCTGTCAATTTTTGACAAGAGGCCATTCCCAAGACATGAACCCGTGACCTCTCGGTCACACAACAACACCTTAACCGGTGCGTCAAGACTCCCCTTCAATATTTTATATCTAGATAATTCCGAATTATTATTTTAAGATATAAATTAATGAATGTGTAATATAAGTTATAAAAATCTCAGTTTTAATAATATACTTATATATAGCTTGATGATTTTTCTAATATTAAAAAAGCCTAATTAGACAGGTTACGATTTCTTATTCTTCATATGGTGAATGACTTTTGAACATACTTGGGCCGGAAATAGTTGGCTTTTGAAACGCCTCATTTAGTCATATTAACTCTCAACACACTGCATTTATTTATTTATGGCCTTATATGTTTAACTCCTTTTTGTGTATAGTAAGATGTTTACACTCGAGTTAGACTCCCTAGGAGGGTTACTGGAGGTTTACCCTGCCATTGTCAGCAGGGACTGAGGGGTTATTCGGACCGATAGGTTCTGGACACAGATTTTATAAAAAAGAAAAGTAAAAAATACATTTTGTGATGCCTTTCTAATCAAGCTTCTTTTTTTGTTTTCCTTTAAATATTTCACCAGCTTGTTCTCCAAAGCATGGCCTTGGTAACCACTGCAGAAGTATGTGATGCCAATCCGCACCTGATTGTGAGTGGGGAGCTCCGTGCTCTCCAGCCAATTTTCCAGATATATGGAAGGCGCCAAGTTTTCTCTGGCCCAATCGTTACCCTGAAAGTGTTTGAAGACAATGTTTTGATCCGCGAGTTTCTCGAGGAGAAGGGTAATGGAAGAGTTTTGGTGGTTGACGGGGGTGGCAGTTTGAGGTGTGCAATATTGGGTGGCAACCCTGTAGTGCAAGCCCAAAACAATGGATGGGCCGGGATTGTGGTCAACGGATGCATAAGGGATGTTGATGAGATCAACGGATGTGATATCGGGGTGAGAGCTCTGGCTTCCCATCCGATGAAAGCCAATAAGAAGGGTAATGGGGAGAAGCACGTCCCAATTTCCTTGGGTGGTACCAGAATCTGTGACGGAGAGTGGCTGTACGCAGATACTGATGGCATTCTCATCTCCCGGACCGAGCTATCTGTTTGATCGATAATTAGATGCACTTCTTGGCATGGCCTAGTAAGCTGCTAAAACTTTTACTACAATCGAAACTTTGAACCACTTATATTAATGGGGCCAGGTGATGATCAGTAATCTTGTGTTGGAAGAGAATTTGATGGACATTAACAAGTACCCACGTCTCATTTTTGTTTTTAAAGGTACCCTGTTGTTATTTGCATTTTGGGTTTGTGTTGTTGCCTTTTCTCCGTCTTGTTTTGTTGTATACAATAAATATTGTACTCTGACATTGATCTTTCGTCAATCGTTAAAGGGTTTGTAATGACATTATAATTATGCTAGAATTATTTTATCATCAGTAACTAAATCTTACTTGGAGGTATTGTTTTTTGTCTGCTTGCTTATTACTCCCTCCGGTCCCAATAGAACTTCATTGTTTGACTTTGTGGTTTTCAAGAAAGTGGAATTTTTTGTAGGTGACAACTCCGGTACCCATTTAAAAACTGGGGTACCGTACCTAGCATTCATTTGATTGGTCTACATCATTATATCATTTTTAATTTTGATTTAAATAATTCAACTGCAACATTCTTATTGGTTCATATGGACAAAGGTATGATACCTTATGGGTACCATAGAATCTATCTTTTTTTGTATTGACTTTCTCATTATGTCCCCCCAAAGTAGATAAAAAGTAGTGATAGAGAGAAAGTAGGTGTAAAGTAAGGGTATAGAGATAACTTTATATAAAAAATTTGTCAAAAAATAGAAGTGTGAAGTTTATTTTGGACATACCAATTACCAAAAAAGGAAAGTGTGAAGTTGTTTTGACACCAACCGAAGTATATAAAATAAAAAGCCCGGAGATCTCATTGCTTAGTTGGAGATGACTAATTTCACAAATTGTTAGAACTTGGGTAACTGTATAAAATTAGTAATCTTGACACCTTATAGAGTTATAGCCTCTAATGGCTTGCCGGTGGGTTGTGGCCTGTTGGAGTGTGGGGGATTGGAGACTGCTTAGTTGGAGATGACTAATTTCACAAATTGTTAGAACTTGGGTAACTGTATAAAATTAGTAATCTTGACACCTTATAGCCTCTAATGGCTTGCCGGTGGGTTGTGGCCTGTTGGAGTGTGGGGGATTGGAGACGATGTTTGGTTTTCTTTCAACAATTTGTTTATCACTATTTATTTTTTAAGAGCTCGTTTTGTAGCATGAAAATCGGCTGATTTTGGTTGATTCTGTTGAAATTTATGAAGTTTTGGCTGAAGTGACTGCATTGGCTGATTCTGCTGATTTAATAAAAAAATATTTTTTAAATATATTTTATTAATAAAATAAAGAAAAAATTATATGTAAAATAGTTAAAATAGTCATCTGCAGTAACTTCAGCCAATACAATCAGAAAAGTAACTCTAACTTACTTTTCTGCTTATTACACAATTCAGCGCGCAAAAGTAAAATTTACGTGTTTGTGAAAAAGTTGGCTGATAAGCCTGATAAACAGAAAAACAGAAAAACCGTGTTGCCAAATGGTCTCTAATTTTACTCTTCAAAATTACTGTCTAGTTAAGCCGTGTACACTAAATACTTTTTCTTCTTCACATTCTTCAATTATTCGATGTTATGAATGGTGATTGGTGATAGACTCATCATGGATAGGCAATTAAATGTTATGCTCGGAATACTTCTATCAATGACAACGTGTTTGGAACTGATTCTGCTTATGCTTTTTTTATAAAGCAAAGCAGAATCAGAATCATTTTTCAAAAGCTGGTCTCCTCCAGCTTCTCAAAAACTGATTCTGTGAGTAAATTAGAGCACCACAATCACTTCTGCACTTTCACCCAAACACTCCAACTTCTGTTTCTGCTTCTTCATGGAGCAGAAGCAATTTTAAGAATCAGATCCAAACACCCCATATGAATTCCATTACTACTCTAGAGTTTGTTTGTTTGTATATCGTACATCCGGTTGTACAGCTTGTACCGTATAGTCGGTGATATTTTGGTAATTCAGGTGAAATTTGCTTCTTTCGATAAACGAGCATTTAATTCACTTTCAATGAACATTGACGTGCACTTTGTCGTGATGTGCACTCAAAATAATAATACAATACTACACCTATACGTAGTATAGCGTAGTAAGGTTCGTATCCACAGGGAAAGGAATACTTTTCTTTTTATAGAACTAGTAACAAAATGGGGGGTTTTAGTTTGATTTGGTTTAATAAATTAAACACGAAGATGAACGAGTTATGTGGTTTAATTAATGAGAAGAAGACTTGGCTTTGCTTTTATCCACTTAATGAAATGTTCGTCGATCCCGGTTATATCTTTAACTATCTTCCTCTCAAATACTCAATCGAGGAGTATATCCATTTCATCGAGGGTAGTTATTAATAACGAGAAGCGTTCATTAATAAAACTTACTATCGAGTCAATATAGAACAAGCGCCGTATATTAACTTGATAGTAGCAATAAACTTAAGATGAAAACGATTGAGATTGATAACCTCAACACAAGCGGTTTATTGGTTTAATCAATATAATTAATTCCCCTTAGATTATTAACCATGAGATGCATGCATTAATAATCCAAGTTTACTACCATGAAAGGACCGAATTAATAACAAGCGTATTAATCGACCGATTCTAGTATTAATTAATATATGAAACAAAACTAGTTGATCCTTTAAGTAATGTTCAAAATATTAATATGAAATATGAATAGGAATTAATTAATACTCAAGAAAGAATATTAAAGAAGATGAATCTTACTATAGTTAATATCAAGATGTTAACTGATTGTCATCTTAGTAACACTCCCCGATATTAACGTAGAGGAAGAAATAACTATTACTATAACTAATGTCAAGATGTTAACTAATTGTCATCTTAGTAACACTCCCCAACATTGATATAGAAATAGTATTTAAAAGAAGAATTAATATTCAAGGAAGAAGATTAAAGATAATAACTCACAACTTACAAATTCATTAAGCTTCAAAGTAGCAAAACCAAGATATGGAAGTTTAGCTCCTCATTTGGAGACTAAACATGCTAAAAGAAATATAGAGAAATTCTATTCTAAACTGAGCTTAAGAGTATAAAGGAATTGGTATTTTTTGTTGTGAAGGAAAGGGGGTGTATTTATAGGCTTTTTGGGAGTGCAGCTCGGGTACTCGATCGAGTATATACAGATACTCGATCGAGTATGTGTAGAAATACCAGATTCGAGGTATACTCGATCGAGTATATGTTCATACTCGGTCGAGTATGTGTAGAAAGTGATATTCGAGCCATACTCGATCGATTTCGGGTTTAAACTCAAAGGCATACTCGATCGGGTATGTCGGTCTACCCGATCGAGTATAGACACTGAATCGTGGCCAAAATCTTCCCGGCATGTTCCTTTGTCTTCGGATCCGATCCGATTTGAAGTTTCAACCTTATACTCGATCGAGTATAGGTAATACTCGACCGAGTATAGACCAAAATCAGGATTTTCCCTTTTGTCTTGTGATTTTGCACCTTCCTTCCACTTTTGGGGTTCACCAACTGTCCTTTGAGTGATGGTAGACCTGTTTGAGCTCAGAATGACCCTAATCTAAACAAATTACAAGAATTCAACAAACTAAACTATTACACCAAAAGTGTGTAATTTCCGAAATACTAAACAACCAAAACTAGCTAAAAACGTAAACATACACACGGAAATTGCAAGTGTATCAACTCCCCCACACTTAGTTCTTTACTCGACCTCGAGTAAAACAGAAACATCCAAACGGTTTAAGAGTGTTCCAAAAGTTCAAGAAAGAAGGAAACTAAGACCACCAAGGGGAAAAATGAGTTTTTACAACAACATTCTTTCTTGGGTTTAATGATCTTCTATGCTCCATCTTCTTGCCTTTTTTTTCTTCTTTTTCTTCTCTTCTTCCTCTTTTTCTCCAAAGAGATTAAATGAGTGCATGCAAAAACAAATATTTCTCTCATATCTCTCATTTTGCCTAGGAGCCTTTTCAGGTTTTCATCCTAGCATCTCTTTTAATTTTCCATTCTCCCAACTCACTCATCATTTTTTTACAAGCCTTTTTTTGCTTAGATTGCCCATTTTGTTGGGTTTTCAACCTAACTAGCATTTCTTTTCTTCAATTTTTTTTTTTTTTTTTAAGAAGTTCATGCATAGTAAAAAGTAGAAAATAAGATTACATACCCATGATGAGTCTCCTCCCCCACACTTAGTTCAAGCACTGTCCCTAGTGCCCAATTTCGGCTTTTGTTGTTTGTGGAGTAAGGTGATTTTGATTTTTGGTGGGTTGTGGGTGTTTTGGTGGAGAAATGATGGAGATATGGTAGAGGGAAGGTAGAAAAAAATGGAGTTTTGGGGAGAAGGGGTCAAGGTTGGTATGGGTGTTTGGAGAAGATGAAGTGTTTTGAGGTGTGTTTTGGGGTTAAGTCGCAGATGTACCCGATCGGGTACTCAACACAGGGGTTCGAGTATGAAGTTTTCCAGTAATACCCGATCGAATATGGCTTAATACTCGATCGGGCCTTCAAGACAGGGTCTGGTAGGTTGATTTTCCAGACATACTCGACCGAGTTTATGTCCATACTCGATCGAGTGCTGGAAACAGGCTTCTTTTGGATTTGCCTTTCTGGACATACTCGACCGAGTATTAACTGATACTCGATCGAGTATGCCTCCAATGTTTAAATTACTGGCCATTTCGCTCGAGTATGGAACTCGGGTTCTCCCTATTTTTACCCATACCCGACCGAGTATGGAAGATTACGCGATCGGGTATGTCCCCAGATACACTTTTTTTTTTTTTTACACGCGCCTAATTTAACGTCTAATTTAACGTTAATTTAACGTTAATTTACAGGCGCCAATCCCAAGAAGCGCCTAATTTAACGTCGCGGCACGACGCCATCATTGTGTTCAATCGTTCAAGCTTGGATCGTGATAACTCATCTTCTTCAAATTTTCACCCGGGTGACTCTTATAGAAATACATTATTTTTCGACCCTCTATTTTGACAATCTTTCCGGGATCAAATATCCGGATTTTTATCGCTTCATATTGTGAGAGTGAGGGTGATAAGTCCATTTATGTACTTATTTTTTTTATCAGATTTAAGCGATTCTGGATTCAAAAATAGAAAAACAAGGCACATTTTATATATTTTGGTTCAAGTTTCATGAAATCAGGTGAAAACCACATTCATAATTTGTTTGCCGGAATTTCGGGTCAATTGAGCACAAAATGAGTCAATTTGAGTGACAAATGAATTCATACCGGAAGAAGCAAGCATTATATCAAGGTGATTCAGAAGACAAAGTTGAAGAGCAGGAAAAGCCGCATCTGCCAGATAAATTTATCAGAAGGCACCCAAAAAGGCCCCCAATCTGGCCG